TGCGAATGGATCACACTCCCAGTGGGTTGAGTGGATCATCGACCCATCTCCCGTCAGCGCTGATAGTGCTCTTTCTGCAAAGACTCCAAATCCTGGTGGATTTCAACCTAGCAGACTGCCATCAATTGGAGAAACACCTGTTGATGTCGAATCGCCGCGCTTTCTAAATTCTGTACCTCCCAGGTCGGTCTCTGTACCTGTCGAGATGCAATCAGCGAAGAATAAAATGATTCAAGATTCGTCTTCTGGTACCGATGATTCTCCACCGAAAGAACCCTTACCTTCACAGCCACAACAACAGCCGCAGCAACAAAAGCACAAGCAAGCTCTAACACTCCTGACGTCTGCACGTTATGAACCCGGACCGCTAAAGACACCTGTAAAGGAAACCCCACAAACTGCTGTTGGGCCACAAACGACAATTAAATTCCCAGCATCGAATTCTCACTACTACGCTTCTTTCGATCGCGAGCCACATGAATCATCCAAAGGTGGATCAAGAAGCAGGAAGCCTGATGGATTGTCCATTCAGACAATGCCTGTGGAAACGACCGATCTCCTGGATGATTATTTACCTGCAACAAGTTATGGCGAGTTCACGAGTAGAGCACCTACTACTGGCTCTCTATCACAACTTGACACTCTCAGTCCACATACAACCTCAGGTCATAGCTATCGAGGTGGTAAAAGTCCCATGATAACAAACCGGAGCATTGATGAGTACATTAGTAGCCTGGATCAAGCCCAATATTTCAGCAAAAATTCTCGAGACCGTGGTTACAGTACCACTAGTCGGCAGTCGAAAGATGAGCAGAGTGAGAGAAAGAAGTCAAAAGGCCAAAGTATTGATGAATCAAAAGATCTCCGCCGCACAATCCCTGCAGCCAAACATTCACCCACATCGCCAATACCGATGTCTCCTGAGGACTTACATCTGTACAGCGCCAGTGTGGAAAGCTTCGACTCCATGTATAGCTCGAATTTGTCAGGTATGGATAGGTCAGGAACTCCTGCTAGCATATCGAAGCACAGCAGAAGAGGTTCGCAATCTACAGCGAAAGGGAACAAACCTCGACATCGATCCCGTTCTAGAACCATTGGAACTAGGAGCAAACCCGGCAGCCGCGGAACAAGTAGACAGCCAAGTCCAGAACCTTACCATCTGATCAATTCGAGAGGAAGGAGCTCTTCACGGAAAGAAAATAATGGACATAGATCACCGTCATCTCCACGTCCAATGGTCCCTTCTGAGGAGGACCGACAAAGTCGATATGACCAAGATTCTGCACTTCGTCTTGTCTCACAAGATCGTCATCGTTTTCAGCGAAGTACTTCTCGTCAAGCGAATCGCAGCCCAAGTACTCGGCGAGACCGCTCACCAGATCGTCGTCGACAGGCCCGCACTAGGTCTCGGAGCCGACAAGTTGGAGAAGAGCCTTCCCTGGTGAGACGGGCTAGCAAGAGTGAACGAACCAGACGGCGCCGCCGACCGAGTGATGCCATACAGAGTGCCCACCCTGACGATCCTGAGGATGCTATGCCAAGTAATTTTGAAGACGTTCGCGTGTCTAGTCAACCTCAGCCTTACCATGAACGCAACAAAAAAGCAGCCGCTGAGCAACTACAGGCACGCCGTCTTTCATTGACTCGCCGACCTTCGATGCCAAATGTGCCTCATCCTGATGAAGTCATTTCCCACACCAAGTCTCATTCGACCAATAGTGTCCCGCAACTCGGTCGAAACTATAGTTTAGATGAGGGTGTGGTAGTAAGCACACCAATGGCGCCACCATTAGGGCCAGACATGTCTGAATTTGGGATTGTGCGAGAACCATCAATTACTCCATCCAACACGGCGACAACGAGTTCAGAAACGCCCACTGTCAGAGCAGGTAGCTCGGAATTACTGAATAGTGAGGTCTACCGACCGCCAACACGAGGCGAGCTCTCATCGGACTCGGCTTCACGACCGGGCTCTGCTCGTGTCCCGGCATCACTCGACTTCCTGACACAGATGCCCAAACACCCGGCTTACAACCAGCGTATCGCGAATAGTCGATCAAGCAGCAAAGGTGCAGAGGTCCGACAAACTTCTCGATCACGCGGTGAGTCCCGCGACCGCACTCGCATCTCACCGAGTGATCGTGAGTATCCACGAGGCGAATCACGAGACCGCACCACCACTACGACAGGAGGAACGACACGTGTATCTCCACGTGGAACACCTCACAGCCGTGAAACGTCTCACATCAGCGTGGGGACCATGCCTGGTTCGTCACCGGAGATAGTGTATGCAAACGCTCAATCACCACCGTTGCAGCAAGGCCACAACCCGCCGATCCTCCCGGAACTACAACATCTCGCAGCACCACTCCCTCCCCCACCACCTCCACCACCGGCGCCACCAGCACCTCCCAAAGTCCCCCCGATGTTCCTGACAAGCCCTAACCTCTCGACCCTCCGCGGCTTCGAAGTCGACCCCAGCAACGTCCCACTGCCCATGTCCGCCATCGGCACCGGCACCAGCCATGCATTCTACTTGGACCACCCCCTTCACTCAGCAGCCCTGCAAAGCGCGCCTCTCCCGCCCCTGCAGAGCGGCAACAGCAACAGCAATGTCAATGGCCACCGCCGCGGCCGTAGCGGCAACGAACACGGCAGCAGCGGCATGCATAACACCGGGGGCGCATCAGGGTCCGGTTCGGGCTCCAGCCAGCTCTTCAGCAAGCTGCGGAACTTCACGGCACGCGGCGGTGGGGGCAATCGCAGTCCGTCTCGTGGACGCAAGGCCGGCGGCGATGACAATCAGGCCATGAGCCCGCGTATCGCCGATGGGCATGTCGCGCCGTATGAGAGTCTTACACAGTCGGTCTTGGGGAGGGGTGTCGAGACGAATTGATTTTGAGTGCGGAGGTTGAGAGGTGTTGAATGAAGAGTGCCATTTTTGAAATGTCGATAAAAAGCAAAAGGCGTCGAGCAGGTACAAAAATAATGGAGAGAGAAAGAGATTTTTTTTATGCCTGCGAAGGCGACGCTGGGATACCTATTTTACATTTCCACTATTCTTCTATTGCGAGGAGATTTTTGCCATACACGACGGTCCTTTGGATATCCTTTTACCTTTTACCTTTGCCATTTTCTCAAGCTATCGAGATATAGGGTTGAGTGCCGAGAGAGGAGAACAAGCAAGAGATAGGGGATGGGTGGGATATGCGTCGGCGGGCGTCTGATAATCAACAGAGCGAAGAACGAGATTAATCGAGAGCAGCGTCAAACAGTCAAAGCGTCGAATAGCAGGCCTCGAACGTCAAGCATCAGTCACTGAAGCAGTCGAGCGAACGAGAACAAGAAGAAGCCGAAGAGTCAAGAAGAAGACCGCAAGATTTCATTTCTCTACAATCATCCATCATCATCATCATCAGTACATACTAGTACATTGTTTTTTGCTTCTTTATTTGGCTTCAATTCAGCAAGCGAGGGTCCTTTTGTTTTGTCCTTTTCTGATTCTTCCGGGGGTACCTTCCGTTTTCATCAGCGCGCGATGTTGCTTGGACGCTGATGGACGGACCGACTGACCGACTGACCGATCGACCGACCAAACCTGCTTGACTCGACTCGACGTGGACTGGATCTCGTTTCGTTCTGTTTCAGGAAGGGAATGGGAAGGGGGGGGGGATTGGGAGAAGATGCCAAGGGGGCAAGAGAGATGGGAAACTTTACAGTTACTGTGCGTCGACGACAGTTTAGAGGAGGAAGGGGTATCTTTCGGTCGGAAGATACCGATGTCACGCTGATGGGGAGGGTGGGAGGGTATAAATTGGTTAGTAGTGGAGAGATGGATGTGGGACGTGAGATGTGAGATGTGGTGGGATGGATAGGTAATCTCGGTACTCTAGGTACTCTAGGTAGGATAGGTAATGAATATCAGAGACTTGTGATGGTGCTGAAATGGATGTTCAACCTGGCGGACATGCGTATCCTATCTATGGATGGAGCTCTTTACGCTGCCGTGATCGTGAAGTAGACCACCAGAGTGGGAAGGGGGTTGGTTTTCTCCATTACATACCCTCATCACCATAGAGCACTGAGATGTTCGGGATTCAGAATCTATACAGTAGTAGCCGGGTAGGTGATCAAGGCACACATGCTGGAATTTGGGAAGGTGCCTTCACGGGAGGATGGTTAGGCGTTGAGATGGAAGGATCCAATTTTCATGTCATCTTGGTTTTTGTGTGTACATATCGTCAAGCTAAAATCTGTTGGTGAGCTCTAAGAGCTTGTATCTTATAGCTGACCCTGCTGATCCACCGGGTGTGCTGTTCACGTTGATAACGCTGTCTACCACCGAGGATAGCGACATTGAAATACAGCACTCTTGCTTAACGGGATTCGTCGTATGGACCATATAGCTGGGGCCACTCTAGTGGCCAGATAGAGCTTCTAACTGTCGTGGGCTGGTTTTGGTCCTTGAGTGTTGTGGGCAAGCTCTTCAGCCATCAGGTGCCGATAGATATTTCTCTGCCCATCTTTGATATTTTGCTGTGGTTATTGGTATAGGAGTTTGAAAAGTCGTTTGCTCATGGAAGGAGAGCCTAGCGAAATGCGGGACGGCTGGATGCCTCCTTCAGTGGTCATCCCGATGTGGAGAAATGTAGCCATCGAGCTTGTCTATAGCTCCCATTGGATAACATTCGAGTGGTTTCTTTTCAGGCTTTCGTTCAAGGTCATTCCGTGATTTCGTATGCTTCGTATCGGGTCGTAAAGATGTAGTGGTTGTACAGGATTTGGTTAAGGCCTGGAGTTTCTTTCTCAGAAGCCAAAAGAAGCTTTGGAAATTCGTGTCTGGGCGACTAGATACCACCACCACTTCTCCCCACCGCGACACTTAGGTCTTTTGCCGAGAGGCGTTCTTTCTCGGATTGAATCCAACTGCGACGACCTTCTTCTTCGAGTAATCTCGTCTCTTGCTTGGATTTTGTTTCAAGGCGTTTGAGCCAGATATAGCTGGCGGTGGGAATGAAGACTAGGCTCGCGAGAAAGAGTTTCTTGTTCCTGCTGTTTGAGGGTTTGTAAAGTTAGAAAGACGCTTGGGGATGTTTAGGGTTGGGAAGGACTGACCTTAGGATGGGACCTGGGCGGTAGCCTGGTATTGAGCTTTGTGGTTGAGACGACATGGTTACGGGCGCGGTTGGACGTATGGGGGATCCTTAAGAAGATGGAGGTTTCTTGAGTTTGATTGAGGTCGGTGTGGTGATGATGGCAAGCTGTCGTATGAGGCTTGGAGAACCTGCCTGTTTGTCGATTCAGTGCAGTGGAAGGGTGGCGTGGCAGAGGCAAGAGCACTTTCAACTGTATCACTGTCGGTGGTTCCCTGATGCTTGGAGTCCCTGGAGTGCGCCTTGGTAAAGTTGTCTCGTGTTGGAGATGAAGCTGATCACGATGACAGTCAATGAGGATGTGTTGAAATGATTCTGTAGATTGTTCAAGTGAAGCACGCGACAGTTTTGGTAGCTTGCCTGGGACCCCATACAAAATACTTGTGAGGCCAAGGTACGAGATAGGTAGGGACTTGATTGAAGCGATTGGTGACGAAATGGAGATGGAAGTGGATGAATGGATTTGGAGGTGGAGGTGGAGCAGGAGTCATGGGCCGATGGGCCGACAGCCTCGAACTGTAATAACGGCTCTTCAACTCTTCGCGGGGCAGCGGAATTGCTCCCGAAACCATACAGGGATCTCGCCAATTATCTTAGGGTGAACTAGATCTATATCGATCGTTCATGAGCGTAAGAAGTTGGAATTATGCACAGTCATTGATCATTGATAGCCCCTACACCTATCGACCCTCAGGTTCGATTTCGAGTCTGGGGACTGATGGGTGCCTCTCGTGGCAGACCAAAGGGCTCAAAAACTCCTCCATAGACATCTGTTTTTTCAGAGCCTGGTCGCTAAGTATGCATCCCACAACATGAATGAATCGACTTATTCTCATCATGGCTCCTGCCGTGAGCTACTCCCTGCTTCACCAGTGTCATCGAGTTCCGATGTAGATCTGCTATCTTGCTCATTGTCGTTGCCATCTGGTACCGGTTCCCCATTAGACTTGGCTAATCGTTCTTCTTCCTTCAACTGTCGTAGTCGTTCGGTTTCCCTCCGCATGGCCTCCAGGTTCCATGCTCCTTGAGCTTCTTCTTCAACGTTGTCATCGTCATCATCGTCGTCGCTGTCTTCGTCTCCTGAATCCTTCCAGTCTCCACTTTCGAACATGGCTCTTCCAGTGGCTTCCTTGGCCTTGATGGCTTGTGCTTCGGCTGCCTTCTTGTCCAGACGTTCCTTCTTCCATTTGGCAAAGGACTCTGGAGTCACGGGCGTTAAAGTGCCACTCAACTTGTGGCGTTCGGATTCCAAGAAATCTTCCAGTGTTAGTGTGTTGAGAGGGGATTTGTCCATCAGAGCCTTCTCTGCACGCCGTTGTTCCTTGGTTTTTAGCACGAATCTGTAGAGATGGTATCAGTAAAAGTCTGCACACAGGAAGGGGGAAAAATCATACCCAGCTGGGAGACTGTGACGATACATGCACTTGTCACCTCCATTGGGACACGTCCAGAACCAACCATATTTACCATCCTCAACGGCCGATATGAAATATTTGCAAACTTTGTCGGTGGTTGTGCGAGGATTGCCATGTTTGTTGAGCACGACGTTACGAAGTTTCTCTTCGTCCCAGTCTTCCATGTTGTCTTTTTCCTTTTCCTCCCGCTCTTGCTCCCTCGTGTCTTGGTACAAATCCCTTTTGGCGCCCTTTCTACCCACATCGAGGTCATGACTGAATTTACATTTCCGGCCCTTTTCGCAATGACCTTGTTTGAAGAACTGGCAGAGGACCGTCTTTGGATCTACACCAAAGGGCACTTTCTGCACCTGGACAGGTTTGAATAACTCGGCAGCCTCAGCCTTTGCCTGTTCAGCAGCGGCTTTCTCCTTGGCTTTCTGCTCTCTCTCGGCCTCTTTTCGTTTTTCCTCAGGGGACTTGTTGGATTTGGCTTGAGCGGCAAGTTGTGCAATTTGTCGTTTGGCGGTACCGCCTTTTTTATTTTTCATACCAAAGGTTTTGTCCTCGACCGAGGCCTTTTTCTTGGCGGGCTCATTGCCGCCTTTGACTTTGGGAGGCATGATGTGATGCGGGATAGAGGGGTGTCGTGGATGATATTTTCTAGGCTTGGTGGGATGTTGAGGGCGGGCGCTTGATGGAGGTTGAGAGGTGGCGAGTGACAGTGGTGACGGGTTGGTAAATTGCGAGAGGAAGAGTGGAGGTAGAGGGAGGGAGTAAAAGAAATAAATCCAGTGACTTGTCGTGAGTCGTGTCCGGTCACCAATCGTGCTTTGAGCCTGAGGCAACTTCAAGAAATGCAGTGCAGACGGATTTTGTGTGGGGAACGGCACGGAATCAAAAGACGTCACTTTGACTTCAAGCTGGACATTTACACAAACACCCTCCATCTCGCTCTCGCTCTCGCTCTCTACCACTGCATTTCTCGGCCTCCCGAGCTAGCTACACACCACCACGATATCTCTCCTGCCCTCATCCCTCACGGACAGCTGGAATGTACTCTGTGATGGCCTCTCACTCTACTTGTTGAACGTCAAATCCGCCTAACCCAACACCTTGACCATGGCAAAACAACCCCCTCCAGCTTCCTCCTTCCCTCCCTCAATGGGACCTGGCGCAATGCCTTATTCAGACACGAACTCCCCTGCAGATGCATATCCTAATTCGACATCCTCCGAAGCAGTCGATCCCCGGACCTCTTATGTTGTTGGCCTCACCGACGATGCCATTACTATAAGGACTCTCGAGGGCCGTGATCCATTATACCAAGTCTACTTCGACAACATGCCCCTAACGGGTTATAAAAGATGGCTTCTTTACGGTGGTCCTACTAGGGCATATGCCTCCTCGCTGACCTTTTCCGACCTCCTTCGTCGCACTGAAACCATAGCTGACAGACATCTCACCCAACAAGAAGCAGAGGGCCTAGCATATCAATCCTCAAGACGTTCCTTGTTTTCCGCCACCGGAAATCTGTTAGGAGTGGCTGCTGGTTATACTATTGCCTGGCGTTCTCGTGGGAAGATGAAGTTTCCGTTCCGAGCTCCTCAACCTTTGACAAGATACAGCAACTTTCCGAATCGATACATCCCTCTCTTCAGGGGTGAATATGCCCGTACTGCCTGGCACATGACCAGAGCAAACATTTGGGCTTTTCTTTGGGTGGTTCTTCTATCCCCCGTTTTCTCTACGATGGGAGCCTACTCTTTCGCTGTTGGCCTCGGCGCAGACCAGCGTACTAAACATTTGGCCGATATGATAACCCAATTTTCCAAGGACCAACGTAACGACTTACACAGACGCCTAGCCCAACGAGAGGGTGAGCGTGCTGCCCGTCAACAAGGTGATTCGCACTCGAAGACTTCTACCGGCCAGCTTTACCCTCAAAGAACCACCGAAGCCTCCGAAGATCAGCATCCCCAAGAGTGGGAGCGCGATTCCGCTACGAACTCAGAGTCCCAGACTGGTACCTTCCGCGATGCGGAAAGTTTCGAATCCCAGAAATCAATACCTTCTTCATCGAGGACAACTGCCCGTCCACAGCCCCCACCAGACCAGACTTCGCGACAAGATCAAGGTGTCTTTTTCTATGAAGATAATGACACGTCTTCCAATTACGATGATGATGCGTCTCCAACCGCCGGCAACAGAAACAGGTCTCCATCGCAAGGTGGAAATACCTGGGCTCGTATTCGGAGAGGGGAGAGCTCTACCTCTCCAAGCCAACCGGCACCGCAATCCGGATCCTCACAAGATTCTTCTCCTTCTGCAGGTGGCTGGAGGCGATCAGAGACTCCATCACAAAGGGAACCCCAATTCCAGAATTCGAGCGACAGTTTCTCTTTCTCCAAGACCGAAGCCGATAAACAATTCGCCCGCGACCAAGCACAAAAGGAGTTTGACGACATGCTTGACCGGGAGAGGAAACAGAGCGGGAGCGACGATTATGATCGTGGAATGAAAGCCGTCGCTTCCGGTCAGGAGAACCAAGCTAATTCCGGCATGAGCTCCTGGGAACAGAGGCGGAGGAGAGATTGATCGAGAAACTACTTGTACAGTACCAAACAAACATAGCCGTTCCCATCACTACGGCTCCGGGATCCGCCATTCGTTGTAACATATTTTGCGACCTGTAATCAAGCTTCTTAGCATCGCGAGTTTAGTGTCAAAAGGAAAAACTTCGCTGTTGTCTCGCATCCAAATTCCAATGTTTAGTGTTCTCTTTGACGTTTCTCATTCCGCGTTTGTTGATGTCATCATTCTTCTCCCCCCTGTAAGTACGTTTCTCATCGCACATGATAGCGTGTCATATGTATATAATCAAGGGCTGGGGGTAGTGATATTCACGATTCAATAGCTTCATCCCCATCCTTTCACTGCACTCCAAAGCAACAAAACAGCAGCACCGACTGGCCTCGGTGGCGGTGGTGGTGAGAACAGCACAACACCAACACCAATATTAGGAGGAGCAACACACAGTGGCGTCACGGCATCGGCGCCTCTACTGTTGATGAGAAGCCCTGTCGCCTTCAGTCAGGCGGTGGTGTTGGTGTTCATAATCCTGTCGGGCCTTAGCATCGCAGATATTCATTATCACCCCTCTTTTCGGAAGCACTCGATATGTCACTAGAAAGATCACCGGCGCCTGCCGATTATCTTTAGTAGGCGCTTTCCCGTACACAATGAGCGTCTGGGTGAAATTGCTGATGTCGCCCTGGTGGGCAGAACATGTTTGTCTGAGCCAGTCACAGATTTAGCCCTGTCTGGTGGCCTTCAGTATTGACACCGGGGTTCTTGTTCTTGATGTAATCTCCGCCCTCGCCTCGATTTCTCAAGGCCGGATGGTGATCGTGGTGTGATTGAAGTTTGTTGGGGGCCTGTGGTATTAACACACCTAAGATTTTTGGCCTCCTCAGCTTTGGAGTGGAGAGTGAACTTATTCGTGCAGCGATTTCTCACGTCTTTCAGAGTCTGTTTGCAGGGGAGGATAGACCACATCCATCTTGCTGGCGAGGTGAGCGGATTGGCAAGAGAGTACCTGTGTCCCTAGGTACCACGGATCAGCAGTTTCGACCGCAAGATACAGGGGTTCAAGTTGGAATAATGGCGGTTGTTGTGCAAACATATGATATCAGGCGTAGGAGATCGATGTCTGAGCAAAGAATGGGTGGGTACCTTCTTCTCTCGAGAAACAGAAGTTGGTATCGCCTCGGTGGAGATGCATACTGTAGATGGTCGGCAAAGAGCTGGTCATTCAGGGTCAGTGTCAATGGTCAATGGAGAAAGTCAAGCACAAGGGGGCATTTAACAGTGTAGGTTTGTCTGTCGTCTTGGGAAGATGATATACTTGATTATGAGCCAGCCTGATTGCCTTGTTTCACCACACATTTGTTTCGATCAGATTGATATACCTCCCTAGTCCCTCTGGTCGACATTCTGTTAGGATTGGGGAGACAGAGAACATGAGCAAGGAGTTGAATAGAAAACTTAAAAGAGGAAAACCAAATCTGGCTCGTCATTGACCATTGCATTATAAATGCTGGAGGGCCGGATGAGTGGTGTAGGGTGTGTCACTTGGGTCGAGAAGAAATAGTCAGAGTCGAAGAACAACGTTTGATCTGTAGGGTGATGGATAGGCCTCGATTCCTGTCTGGTAATCATTGTATTGCATTACATTGCAACCTTCCTCCCAGAATGCGCCAATCTCTCTGGAGTCAGAAGAATTTCGCTATCAACCAATACCATCGTGATTCTGCAGTGGAGAGTGAGCTGTGAAGAAGTAGAAACTGAGACAAACGAGAAGGTGGCCGTCACATTTTCGGTGTCAGGTCCGGATCTTACACTCGGTGTTCGGCTCGATGACCTCAGGTTAAGCTTAGGCCTTAGCCTTGCCCTTTTCAGCAGGTGCGGCCTCGTCCTTGTCGTCGTCTTCAAGGTCGGGCATCTCATCATCGTCCTCATCGTCCTCCTCATCATCATCTCCAGCATCACCTCCTGCACCAGCACCTCCCAGACCTTCCATTCCTGGCAGTCCGGCACCGTCACCACCACCAAGTTTGGAGAAGTCAATGCCACCGAACCCGCCATCTTCACCGAGACCACCACCGAATTGGTTCATGTAATCATCTTCAGGGGCCTCGTTCTGTTCATCCTCATCGACCCACTAAGAGAGGTCAGCATGGCGCAAATGGCTTTGTAGAGGGGCAGATCGTGTATTGGTGTGAGACTTACCTTGTCGAAATCTGTTCGTAGGTAATGAACCTTGGCCTTGTCCTTGAGGAGTCTAGGCCAGTATTCTTCCTTGAGCTCTTTCTTTCGCAGAACGATCTGGATGTTCGCGGCGGTGTGATGGACTTTGGAATTCTCTACGTCAATCTCTTCGAAGAACTCCAACTTGAGGTGGTATGTAGTCTTTTTGGTTTCCGAGGTACCGGTGAAAGTCAAGCCGGTGGGCTGAAGATCAAGCTTGAGAGATTTGGCAGGAACATCAGGCACGGAAATTGTCAAGTACACATAGTTCTTCTCAGCATCGGTAGTAGATGAACGCTGAGCCCAAAGGACTGAATTTGAGTATGATTAGAACCAATCCAAGAGTAGGAAGACTGATTGAGTGGACTCACCTTCTGGGGTGACTTGATCCGACATGTTGAGGACTGGGAATGTAGATTGGGCCAGATGAGAATGGTAGAGGAAGTGCGGAGAGGGGACAAAGTGCAGGCAGGAACAGCCAAAAGTCTAATGAGGATGAGTGGGATAGTAGTACTTGTAGTGCAAGCGTCAAGAACTTGGGGTTCGTAGTGCTCGTTCGAGGGATTGCTTTGATACAAAGTCAAGAGAAAGAGACAGAGACAGCTGAACTTGAAGATGATTGTGTGCGGGCTGGGGGAGTTCAATTGCTACTAGTAAGGACGTTTTTAGGTAGAGACGAGGCTGTTCGAATTGCGACGAATGGTATCGAATTTCTGCAGCTACAGGGTGCATGATGGTGACTGAGCCGCCCTGATGAATTAGTGAGAGGCTAGTCATGCTAGTGGTGAATATTCATGACTAACCGGCTCAAAGAGCAATAGGCATTTGGTTGCTGACCATCTAGTGTCAAGCTAAGCCCAGAGCTAGTCACTTGCTAAGTCATCCATCACGTCGATTGAGGGTGCGAAATGTACGAGTACGAGTAGGCCGTGCCCGCTGTCCCGCACTGAACCCCCATTCAAGTTGTCGTGTTCCCCCCCACCAACAATAGGGCACCGCAGTGGCATGCTGAGTACCGAGTACCCCAAGCACAGGCACCATTTGTACCTAAATTCCTCTGAAAGGGACCGCCTACATCATCCTAGTTTAACTTCAAAGTTGGGTACCTGACCTGAGTTGCCACTACTACTAGTAGTACTCCAGAAGTCGATCAACGGCATGAACTGTTCCCATTCAGCCCTATGAGAGTCTGTTTATTCTCACCACTTCTGTTATCTCATTCCCTCTAGTAAGAGACGTCTTCTCGAAACTTGCTGTCCGCGATGGCCCGATGCCATTAGTGGTCAATCCTGTTGCTCGTTCCCTTCACCACCACCGTTGGCACTGGTAGTCATCCAGATTCCGGCCACATACCGTCTCTACAACCATGCAGTCCTTCAAAGCAGTCTTCTTCAAACCTGACCCCCAGGAACAAGTGAGAACTCCCTGTCGGCGCACCGGTCGGAATCCTTGAGACTGACTCTTCTCTAACGACAGAAACGGAAATGCGACTCCATCATTCGCAAGAACGTTCGTGGCTTGGATCGTGATATTCTCAACCTCAAAGTCACCGAACAAAAAACAAAGTCACTCATTCTCCAATCCTCCAAACGCGCACAGAAGAACCCTTCACAGGCCAACCAGGCTATTGCCGAAACACGGCTTTATGCCCGAGAATTACTTCGGGTGCGGAAACAGGCGGGGAGATTACATACAAGCAAAGCACAACTACAGAGTGTCCAGATGCAAGTCAACGAAGCGTTTGCCGTGCGGAAGATCGAGGGAAGTCTCAAAGCAAGCACGAGTATTATGAAGGATGTCAATACCCTCGTACGACTACCGGAATTGACAGGCACCATGCAAGAACTCAGTCAAGAGTTGATGAAAGCTGGTATCATCGAGGAGATGGTGGGGGATGCTCTACCAGATGATCAGCTACTAGAGGGAGAGGATGAAGAGGCCGAAACCGAGGTGGACAAGGTATTGGGAGAAGTCCTCAAAGGCAGATTGGGGACTGCAGAACAGAAGATTCCCGACCTGCCGGTGGAGGAGGAAGAGGAAGCAGAAGACCGAGAAGCCGAACTGGAGCAGATGCGAGGGCGGTTGGAAGCACTCAAGAGTTGAGATGCTGGAAGACTCAAGATAATCAAGTTTTGGGAGTATGAGATATGACTGGTGTTGGGGCGTTAGCGTGCAATGAGAACAGCGGTCTTTGAATCGTATCACTGGGCATCCAACCAGATGGGTGCCAGACATCTATCTGATGAATCATGTAGCTAGGCAAGTGGCGGCCGCTGTCAACATCATACGGATAGATTGACAATGGGCCGCCAGAGTCACGTGTTGAATTGTTGATTGTAATGCCGCCATAATCGGCTTAGCTCAATCACGTGTTCCTAGGCTGAAGTGGCACGGGCGGCTGCCCACCCCCTTTCGTCGCGATCTGTTCCTGATCCTGCCTTCTTATTACTTCACTGTCGCTGTTCCCATCCAAAGTCTACTACGACTGTCACTATTACTGCATTCCTTCCTCTTTCACCATTTTACCACATTTCTATTTCAACCTCAAACGCTTGCAGATCTCTCTTGAGTCACACATCTCTTGAATCACCATTTAACTCTTTCCCGCACGCGTCCGTCTTCTTCCGTGCATTCTCTCCGGATTCAGTCTCAATCCAGCTCAATCAGGCTTTCACTTCCAAATTCATCCAACTTTCGCGACTCCTTCAATCGCAACACTCCTTCAAGGCAATCTCACTTTTCCAACTTCTAAACTATCATCACAAACCTCTTTCGAGATGTCTGGCAGGCTAGATCAATCCCTCGATTCCATCATCGACAGCCAGAAGAAGCAGAAGCGTGAAAATCGCAATCGCGGCCGCAAGGTTGGGAAACCTCAGACCACCGCTGCTCCCGTTGGTGGTGTCAAGAAATCCACGAGACCTGTCAAATCGGCCATCAAGCCCGCTGCAGGTGCTACTACTCTATCAAAAACCAGCAAAATCGTCGTCAGTGGTTTGGTATGTTCCTCAATCTCTCTTCTCTTCAAAATTCTCACTAACATTCCTTCCAGCCACACGATGTCAACGAAGCCCAAATCAAGGTATGTTGATAAAGAGGCTTTCGACCTTGGATTTCCATCGCCTGCCGTCGTCACCTGCTCTCCTTTCGCTCCTTTCGCCACCGTAGACGAGAATTGTTATGCTGTCGAATGAGGAAGAGCTGGTTCTATTCATCGTTACTGGGCATATATTTACGGCACTCCTATACCATGCTGAGACATTGCTGGTGTGCCGGTGGTAGGCTTCTCTCAATTGGTCTGGTGGCATGTGCCGAGTGCCACGTCCCATCCCAAGCCCGGAGATTGCCATGATCTTGCCATATAATCCCTTCCGGCTAGCCACCGCGCAAGGTTTTGACGCAGATCTACCACGAGGTGATTTTGATCATGCTGAAATGCTGTCAATTCCCTCCCTTTTCCATTCTGCTCGATTGGAGCATCAACGAGGTTTTTATGTGCAACAGTTAGCAAGCAGTACAGTACAGCATTCTGGATTTCAGGAAACCTTTCATCACAGTCGTTTTCAGTCAGGAAACGCCCTAAACCACCTTCAACGCCGCATGCCAGGCAAAGGACAGCTTACTGGACTACCATCACACTTACAAAACATTGCATTCTGCAAGCCTCATATTTGCCACGTGTATCCAAACAAAGACATGTGAGCAGTCATGAGCCAACTTTTCTGTCTCCTCAAGGCATCCGAGGTTGAGAATTACCCACCACTTCATCCACTCACCATTCATCGAGCGACCATTCTGCCAAAGTCTCTATCTGGATTGCTCCGTCTGGCCCCCTTGCTGGTCACAAACTCTGGCCTCGAACTCGGACAGCCTCCCAACTGGACTCCGACGAAATCCTGGAATAAAGGACCTCTTGCTGCTACTGTTTGCACCTTGATACTCGTTGATGCTCCTTCGGGTGATTCACCCGTTGAATCATAATCTGTTGCGGAATATCTGACCTTATTCTTGGAGACGTGGCTACATGGATGCGAATTTTCAATGCTATTGCTATTCTACTTTCGACCGATTACTGATCACACTGGGACCAACAGGAATACTTCGGCAAGTCTGTAGGATTCGTCAAGAGAGTTTCTCTCCAATACAACCAAAATGGACAGAGTCGTGGTATTGCCGACATCATCTTCTCCAAGTCAGACGCTGCTGCCAAAGCAGCAAAAGATCTCAACGGAATGCTTGTCGACAAGCGACCTATGAAGGCAAGCTCGGCCTTTTTTCTGTCACACTACTCATCCTGACATCGCATAGATTGAAGTCGTGGTCGATGCAAGCCATGTTCCAGAACCAACAAAAGCCAAATCTCTTGCCGACCGTGTTGCGTACGCAAACCCACAACGCTCGGTTAAGTCGGACCCACTGACCAAGACCAGTGCCAACCCTAAGGCTCAACCCAAATCGGCCACAACCGTCAAGAACACTACTGCTAAAGATGGTACCAAAGGACGATCAGCAGGAAAGCCCGGCAGCAAACCAGTCAAGCGTGATGGTCGTCGTCAGAATCGACCAAAGGCAAAGACTGCCGAAGAACTTGATGCCGAAATGACCGATTATTGGGGTGGAAACAACCCATCTGCTGTTGCTGCTCCAGTTGCTGCACCTTCCAACGGAACTGTCCCTCCACCCGCTACTGGCGATGAAGATATGATTTCAGTATGTTCCTTCGAAATCATCTGTTGAATTCCAAAGGACTGACACCCGTATCAGTGAATTCCCTAATCGGCGGACTTGAAACTAATCGTGATCATTGGTGAGCGAAGTGGTTGGTTCGAACGATCATCAATTGGTTTCGTGGTTTCCCTTGCACATCACATGTATCAATTATCATTTCGCCCGGAATGAACTTTCATGTTCTCATAACCTTACTGCTTCCATTCAATCAAGATTGTGTTATTTTGTGCAACAGGAAGGGGTCGGAGTCGAAGATGAAAGGTGGTCTCCTACGGTGAAGTCAAAGATACCCGACGAGGTTCCCCTTTAATCCCAGTTGATAAGCATCACTGTTGAAGGGGAAATTCATCAATGCGCAGTCACACATCTTTTTAAAGGCTTCATGATAGGTAGAGACAATAAGAAATGCAATGAAAAAACAAAGTATCCTGTTGCGTAACATCATTTTTTGAATTTATCATTACCTAGCCATACCTGGGTGATACCCACGGGACAATTCCATGTTACGCTATCTCCATCTCTATCTTTGATCGTGTTTTCGTGCCTTCATGTGCCTTCGTCTCTCGTACTTACAAAACGCGTACGATGATTTCAATTCTTCAAGACCCTTTCGATGATAGCATTGCAGTGCTCATATCTCAGTCTGACTCTGCTGCTCAGAGGAGTTCAAAATCATCGAAGTCATCGTCTCCATTCATGAAGGAATCAGGAGCGGCCTTCTCCTTTCCCTTGCTGCTGCCTTCACCATTGCCGTTGATACCATCTTTGTCCTGAGCGTGGCGCAGTCCTGCGCCGTGACGGACTACTGGAAAGTCGTCATCACCGTCATCGAAGTCATCCACACCAGCTGTGTCATCGAAGTCCTCCCCGTCGTCGTCGTCGGAGCGGTCATGCACTTCGACTTCCATGTCGGTGTCGGTGTCTGAGCTGTTACCTTCATCGTCATCGAGGTCAATGTCGTTGCCATTGTCATTCATGCCTGACTCGCCCATGACAGTCTCAATCTCCGCGTCGGCCGCAGCATCAGCACTAGGAACGAATACGACAGAGGCGGCATCAGAGCCAACCGCCTCGGAAGCAGCGCTACTGAGGCTCATGACCGTCTGAGTGCCATCCGTGGCGCGCTTACTGGCCTTCCCGACGGTGCTGAGCGCCTGGCTACTATCGACGTAGTGGAAGGCGTCGCCATCGTTGGACATGGTCCCCGCATCCGACACGGACGGCGCATTGTAAGGTCTGTGAATGCGACCGGGCCCGAAGCCCTCGACGAACTGGCTCGCGTCGTCGAGGTTCGGCACCGGGTTGTCATCGTACACACCGCCTGTGCCGTCATCGTTGCCTCCGGCCCACAAGGGGAGGTATTTGAACTCGTCTTCGGACAGGCAGAGAAGCGTGTCGAAAAGGTTGCTTGGGAGGATGTTTTCTCCGTGGAAGAGGTGTGGTGGGTGGAGTATTGAGGAGCAGATTTTGCCGATGCTGCGGCCCGCGGCTTCGAGGAGGAGGGTTGCTGAGATGATTGTGACGGGTGGTGGGGATGGTTTGAATGGGTTGTGCCCTCTCTGCTGGGCGCGAGGCCAGGTACTGGGCTGGGAATTGTCGATGTCGACGAGGAAGTCTAGTTCGTCTGGTGTGGTTCGCAGGACTGGGTCGGTGGTGGGGACTTTGGGCAATTCGGTATCAGGCTCAAAGACTGGTGCTGGGATTTTATCGGTGTCAGTAGGGTATCGAAACCCGAAGTCTGCACCGACAGTGGTTCCTGTACGCGGCTTGACGGCGGCTTTGAGTGATTCCTTTGTCGATGCCGATATAGCAGAGCCTGACCTGTCCGCCTCGAGGTCGAGAAGCTGTCGTTTCACGCCCTCCTGAATGGGATTGACGATTGATAGAAGTTTCGGACGAACAGGCAGAGCTAGCATTGACCCCCGAAGTGCATCTGCGTTCGATCTTGCTCCATCGAGAACAGTATCAGTGCTCTCAGCTGGCGGGGCAGTCTCAGAGAAATCCTCAACCGTTGAGTTATGCCACGGAACTCGATTGGTATCACCTCCGGTACTGGTCTTGCGACGTTTAAATGGGGACGATGGAACTTGAGTTGACGGCCCAGCCTCGTCAGACCCGTGCTTGGAATGGCCACTGATGGCCAAGGAAGAAAGATTAATGGATTCGGGATTTAGTGGGCTGACCACATGAGGTGGCGCGCGTTGAAGGTCAATTCCAGCGCTTGCGTTCAAGATGGATTTTGATGGTAATGCTCGAGACAAGCCATTGCTGAAGGTAATGGTGGTTGAGGCGCCCTCTTTGTCTTGACAACCAGCACGAGCTGCATGTTCATAAAGTATGCGGTTGACTGCTGCGAATTTCCTGTCAAGACTTTTGCGGCTGATCGTTTTGATGCCATTCAATTGATCATGTTGATACAAATCCTTGAGGGCTTCGAAATAACGTGTCGACGAGGAATCACCTGTAGTTCCTTCAGGAGTGGTATTGTGGGTAAAGACATTGAAGTCAGTGCGTTGGAGTGCAGACCAAAACGTCTTGGTGAACATTCTCATTGGTTGGTTGAGGGAGTTGTATGTAGTGATATAGTTCTCGCCTACACCCGCACGGAAACTCGACATTGAGAATGTGTCCTGCTCCAAGTCGTGCTTGAGTTGGTTTTGGCAAAGTACGTAATATATTCTTGACCGAATATATTCACGCACTCCCTCCAAGGCTCCACTGAAGATTTCCGTTTCCTCATCGTTAGAGCCACGGAGAGCTTCGAGCTTAGCATAGTCGGGTGATTCTCGAAGCCAGTCCATATCTCGACAGACCCCACAGACCAGCTCACGGACTCTGGAAACGAGAGAGGAAGCTGCGTGGTCGATGCGGTTGCGCTCATCTTCATCGAGTAAATCCAGCTTGCGACCATGAACACTGGCCTTTAAGGGGTTCAAGATCTTGGGGTTGTATTCGCCATATGCGTCGATCAAGGCCCGTTCACCAACGAGAATACTAAAAGCATCTCTGATCAGTTCCGCCGATTCAATGCCCATAGCAATCCGATAGACAACCTCGGGGTTGCACTGGATGAAGTTGGCATTATTTTGAGTGCACAGCCATGCTGTAATCCACCCAGACACTCTTTCATGGTGTGCACAACCGAAATATCTTGCAACTGCAAAGTAAGTCCACACTTTTGGTGCTGAATCAAGCTTAGGGTCATTGCCTTGAATTGCTTGCAATACACGTTCGATGGCAGACCTATGGCGCAAAGGAGAATACTCTGCTCCAATCGGGCTATTCTTGGCTGGTTTAGGAATATTCGATCCTATGGCCGATGGCCCTGGGTTCCCATTAGTTGGGTATGCACGCTCGTCGATCACGATATCTGCTTCTTTCCCAGCGGAATTGTCTTTGGTGTCGATGGAAGGTACAACAGTAATGAAATCGTCGTGGCCTAGGACTGTAAGAAGTGAGAGATTATACTTCTGCATAGCAAGATGCCAGGTAAGCACGCCCTTGGTGCAAGACAATTCCGTGGTCAAGATTATTGCTTCATCTTCGTAGGCAGGGGGTTGAAGGTTGATGTAATATTTGAACTTGCTGCCTCGTTTCGCCTCAGGCATGACGAGAACCCCAGTCTTCCGAATGACTCTTTCGGCTCTGATTGACATGGGGCCAAGCATCTTGATGAATTTCGAATTATCGCCCATGAGCCTCAGATTGGCGCTTTGGACGATATGGACTCGGTCAAAGTGTGCACAGATTTGTGCATATTCCTTGTCACTTTGACTTTGGTCTCGAGGAGGGGGCCCAATGTAAATTGCAGTGTCACCTTCTGGATCTTCCAAGGGAGCGAACTGGTTGTTTAGACTCAAGACCAAATAATAATCCTGACCTGGAGATGTCTCAAATCTTGGTTGTCGAGGACTGGTCTGAACATGGTTTTCTTCGAGGGAGCGTTGTACTGCCCGCTGCAGATCCTGGTCCTCTTGGGCTGGAACACGCCACCCATCTGAGGGATGGATTACTGGGGAGTTGTTGGCCATCTTGGGACTGTATTCTTGTTGTTGGAAGAATATGTCTTCAGGCGTACATTGATTGTGTGAGACGGATCAGGCTGATCAGACTGTGACCAGTCGACGATCAAACGGGTAATACAAACCAGGAGTCAATTGTTCCTAATCAAGAAAGTTGTAGATGAAGGACGTCAAGACATGAACGATTAGCACATGGAAGAGTCTGGAGACGAAGATGAATGAGAAGAGAAAGTGGGTTGAGACGAAAGAGAAAATGATGAGGCTGTTGTGAAGTTGAAGTGAATCAAATCCGTGTGTGGCTGCCTGGCCTTCAATTCATCTTGGAAGGCTCAGAGTCATTTCGCTACACGTGCCGTGCAGTGCCCAATTCAAAGCCCATGTCAGTGCCGCAGCAGTTCCAGTGGCCCCTTTGGCCCAGTAAAGGCTGAGTCCTTGGCCTGTGAAATGCTGACGATCTGCTGCGTGAGTTTGGCCTTGCGGGCGGGGAACCCTCCAGCTTCATCAGTGAAGCCTGTGGACCGCGGGTGCCTGTGCCCTGTACCCCACACGGAAATGCTCACCCGTCCCTTACCTAACCCAGTCTAGAGTCTCTGAGGCGTAGTTAAGAATTGGCCCTCCGAAGCCATCAAGTGGCCCGTCAAGGTTCTTTTGTCATGAGTGAATTGACTCATTTACTGTACATGAGGTATGTAGATTCTAGCTACAATACATTTCGCTATGCATAACTCCACAAAGTAACAAGGCATGGCTGAGTTGAGAGGAGAGACGAATTTTTCCATCAACTATACCACTTTCTCCTTATCCTCCTGTATGCTTGATTCACTGGCAGCAGGAACAATTGCTTCGACATCCTCCTTTACAACTTTCTTCACCTGGTTCTGGGGCTTTTTGATGGTCTTCCACTCCATAATCAGTGCTCCAAACAGAGCTGCACACGCGTAGCCAACTGCAACGTAGAAGACGGTGACCAAGGCCTGATTGTAGATTCGCAGCACTTCGGGTAATTGTTCCGCAGTGAAGACGTTTCTCAAGTCCGTGGCTCCGGTGTTAGCGACCTCATGTGGACTGATATTGCCAATCCCACTGAGCCCGGAGATGAGTTTGTTGTCAAGGACGTTCTGCGCGATTGCCACAGAAATGGCGCCTCCCATTCCCTGGCAGAAGAAGACAAATGACACCCCTGTAGGCGCGTCCTTCTTGTCAAGTACCGTCTGAGCAGCAACATTTGTTTGTTGTAGCCCAACTCCTACACCGAATCCAAATAGAACTTGAACACCGATCCACATGGGGTGTCCTGTATCAACTTTGAAAAGTGTGAGCAGGCCAGCACCAATGGGTGTCAAGATCCCACCGGCAATAAGTGCAGGGTTGTAGTATCCGAGCTTGCTGATAGCAATCCCCGAACCAATGGTGGCGACGACAAGACCAAGAATGAATGGTAAAGTCGAAATGCCGGATCTGATAGCTGATGCGCCTTTGATGGCCTGAAACCAGATCGAAATGTAGTAAACCACAATGAAGAAGGACGACCCGAGAAAGAAGGCATACCAGCTGGCACCAATGATTGAGCGCTGTTTCGCAATTCGAGGCGGTAGAGTGGCCGATTCCTGTCGAATGTGCTGGATGATAACAAAAACGATGAGGAGGACTCCGAATAGAACCAGCAGTGCGATGATACGGCCGTCGGACCATGGATATTTCTGACCACCCCATTGCAGAGCCAACAGCAAGCACACTATGCATGGGATGAATACGAGAGTCCCCGGAATATCGATCCGGGAGATCTTCTCCTTGAGTGGCAGATCACCGAGGGCAGGTGGGACATTTTCAACAAACCTGAATAGGAAGGCCAGCACTAAAGCACCAATGGGGAGATTGATGTAGAAGCACCATCTGGATTTCATGTTAGCACACAATTCATGATCAACTAGCTTCATCAACTGACCTCCATGATACATTCGTGGTGAAGACTCCTCCAAGTAAAGGACCTGCCACCGATGCCACTCCGAAAACCGCCCCCATCAGACCCATGTAGATAGGTCTCTTCTCGAGAGGCGAGCAGTACATCAACATGATCATTGCCCCGTTGAACAGCCCGGCTGCCCCCAATCCAGCAATGGCGCGACCCCAGATAAAAGCCACCGAGTTTGGAGCGGCACCACATACCGCGGAGCCGATCTCGAAGACGACGACTTCGCCAATAAAGATCCATTTGGGTGGGTAGAAGGTGTAGATCCGGCCGAAGAGTAGCTGGAGAGCTGTCGCCGGAAGTAAAAATGCGGCGTTGTACTGGTTGAATGGGTTAGAATGGCTTGGATGCACCTGAGAAGAAAGAGGGATTCCTCACCCAGCCCACATCGCTGAAGCTCTGAAACTTATCTGTGATCTTGGGAAGGGCTGTCGCAATGATGGTTCGATCAAGGGCGACAAGAAAGATACTGAAGTAGATTGAGCTCAAAATCAATGCAAGTCTGATGCCAGTGGGATAGTTCTCCATGCGACTGACGGACTCCTCGAGAGGGTTTTCGTCTGCGACGGTAGGCTCATTCACCTTATCATCGCCCACCGGCGTCTCTTTTGTCGTGTCTGTCATTGTCACCAGCTGTTGGGCTAAATATCAAGCAAAGCGCATTTGAAAAGGAAAAAAATCACCGCTCAGGCTGGCAGAAAGAATGAAGACAGGGGGCAACACATGTATATTAAAGGTTCAGGTTACAACGGCCGCTTGGACGTGAAGTCATGATGGCAGGTGTACGGATACGGAGTGAAGAAGACTGATCTATCTGCGACCCTGGCGGCGTTAGAAGTGAATAAAGCCGAATGGTTGTTGCCTTGCGTCGTATTCGTGCATTAACCACGAGGTGCCCGCCATAGGTTCGATTAATCCCTGCCTCTATCTCAAATGTGATTTGAGGAGACAGAACAGCGAGTACGCAAATTTGGACCGAGGACGAGTCCTCCACTTCACGGGACAAGATTCTGCTAAGCTTTGGAGATTGCGACCCACCGGCACGTCCACGACCGTCATGTCTATTACTATCTCGTACTGGCAATGACTCACCTTGAATGTGCATGGGACTGATGACCAGATTTATGAATGGCCTTCTGCGTGTATGGTTTTTCCTGAGAGGTAATAGTATCAAAAACCTGTCTGGTTGGTTCGCTTAGTATGCGAGAGTTGTTGCCTGATCATGGTGGTCACCCAGGTGGTAAAGGCTTTGATTTCCATTGATGTGTGTCGTCCAAAATCTGGCATCTTCGGGCCTTGTATCAATTCTCGGATCCGTACTCCGTTAGGTGGACTCCGACAAAGGTTCTTAGCACGGCTAATTTGCCGCCCTTTAAGCAGATGGATCTTTTTGCTCAACTTGCTGTGCAGTGTAGTGGAGTTTTAGATCCATTCCTGTCCCGAACTGTTTTGTTTTTTTGCAGTGTTTACTAGACTCCGTTTTGGCTAACGAAACATGAGTCTATTAGGATCGAAGCACGGATAACGCTAGATGTAAATGGCGGCCGCCCATCTACGAATTGCCTACGAGTAAGTCAAACGGATTGCTAGATGCCGAAATTTCTCAAGGAGTAACTAATCTATATTCTTTACACTTTATAGAAATATATTCTCTATATAATACTAATACTAAATAGGTAGTCTTAGATAGAAATACGCCTTGTAGTGGCTGGAAAAGGTAGCTAACAAATCTAAGTCTGGGCACCACGTAATGAACCAACCTAGTAATGGAACACGCGTTTTTCCGTCACGTCTCTTCCTGCTCCTCCTCTTCCACACCTTACTACTCAACCAATTACTCTAATTCCTTGATATAATGGCCTCAAATCAGGAGACTAGGATGCTCCAAGCGATGTCCGACTATCACAATCGCCGATATACTAGTATTCGCTCTACTACCGCCGCAAATGATGTCTCCCATGTTAGTCTCGGCCGCCGACTACGAGGTGGTAATTTACGAGCAATTGCTCGTGAATCACAACAACTCCTATCGAACCAACAAGAGCAAATGCTCGTACGATGGATACTCGACCTGGAGGCGCAAGGACACCCTCCTAGCTTTACTCAAGTACGAGATCTCGTTGTTATCATTCGAGGTATTCCGACGGAGCACTCTAGCATTGGTCAAAACTGGATATCACGATTTATTCAACGTTATCCAGAGATTCGCTCTAAAGTAGGTAAAAAGATCTATGGCTTGCGATTACGGAGCACTACTCCTGAGTCCTTGAATCGCTAGTTTAAGCATTTTAATACTGTCCGAGAGCGATATTTAATATTCTCGAATCATATCTACAATATGAACGAGACTAGTATCGCCCTAGGCGTCTATACCAATCAACAAGTGATTAGTAGGATTAATACTACTCGATCCTATAAAGCAACACTAGAAAATCGTAAATGGGTCTCTATTATTGAGACAATATTAGCGACTAGCCGTCGACTATAGTGTCTCGTCATATTTAAAGGAAATATGCTCCAATCAACGTGATTTACAGATCCAGATACTCCGAACTATTCCTATACGGTTTCACCTAATGGATGGACTTCAAATACTATCGGATTAGCCTGGTTATCTCAGATATTTCTCCCTCAGATAGCAACGAATGACTATCAACTCCTTCTACTTGATGGGCATAAAAGCCACGCTATATACGAGTTTATGTGGCAATACTATCTAAATCGAGTGGTATTAGTCTACTTAATCCCTCATTCAAGCTATATTCTCTAGCTACTAGATCTTGCATACTTTTCGCTCCTAAAATGCCGCTATCGGGATGAGATTGCTAACTTAGCAAGGTACGACGACGCCTCGACCGTAAAGAAGAGTAGATTTCTCAAAACCTATGAAAAAGCGAGTAATAAGGGCCTCTCAGAGCCTTATATCCGTGCGAGATGGAAAGCAGCTAGTATATATCCATGGGATCCTCGTAAAGTCATTCGATCTAGTTAGGTCCTTTAAACTAGCTAAAATGAGCGAATACTACTAACTACGCCACCATCACATAAGCAAGCTCAGTATGTATCGAATGATATTCATACGCCACTTACTCGATAGCAAATACGATAGGAAACGAAGTCGATTTCAGCCCAGGAGACTCTTTCTCGCCCAGTACGTCGATTACTTCAAAAAACGGCTAAGGTATTCGACCAGCTACAATGGGAAATCACTACTCAATCACAACAACTCACTACTCAGCGTCAAAAGCTA